TTATTTGATTCTACAAATTTTACTGTTTTAGACACCTGATCTAAGTGGAACCATGCAGCATTTATTCTAGAGTGACTGGTTTATTTCTCTTAGCATAATGTGGGAATGTAAAATAATATAGCTGTGATGGAAAACAGTACGGAATTTCCTCAAAAACTTTAAAATTAGAATTAACATATGATCTAACAATCTTATTTCTAGGTATATAGAAAAAAGAATTAAAATCAAGATCTGCACTCCCATGATCATTACACCATTATTTACAACAATCAAGATACAGAAACAACCTAAACACCCAGAAATGGATGAGTAGATAGATAAAATGTATAAATGCACACTGGAATATTATAAAAAGAAAGAAATTGTGCCATGTATGACAACATAGATGAACCTTGAGAACATGTGAAGTAGCCTTCTAATGAATAGAAGAAAAGACTATCTGTAAGGTTAAACATAGTTACCTATCAGGTGTTGTCATAACACATCATATAGAATATAATATGTATACATAGCTAAGTTTTTTATCAAGTTTTACACTTACGCTTGATGATTTTTCTTGTATATGATATATCTCAATTTAAAAGTACATAAAATGGGACCGGGGATTTAGCTCAGTGGTTCTGGCGCCTGCCGCGCAAGCGCAAAGTCGTGAGTTTGATCCCTGGTACCGAAAAAAAAAAAAAGTACATAAAATGGTCTTAAAATTAAAAATTTTAAAAATTAAGCCAGCTATTTAAAATTCATTTACGTAAGAAAACAAGTTCAGACCGTTTTTACCAGAGATTTATTTCTATCCTCTGCAAAATAAGACCTTCAACTTGCTTCATGAGTCTAATATAACTTTAGTACCAAAACTAGATTAGAAAAGTATGAGAAGGAAAATGTACAGGCCTGTCTCATGAACTAACATAGATTGAAAAATCTTAAATAAAATTTTAGCATGCTAAGCGAAAAGGAGAAAAAAAAAACACTGTGGAAAGCTTGAATTTATCTCTCCAAATGCAAGGATGATATAACATTTGAAAATCAATTAATGTCTTTTGCCATGCCGTCAGACCAAAGGTCCAGAAATATGCATAGAAGTCCACTTTCTACTAGTATATATAGCATGAGAATTCATATGTTAGCAAAGGATAAGGACCAGGAAGCTTACAAAGGGCTAGAAGATAATTGCATTCCCACCAATCAGAGAGGTGTGTGTATGTGTGTGTGTGTGAATGTGTGTGTGTGTGTAACTGAGGATTGAACCCAGAGCCTTCACACAGAGCTCCCCCCCACCCCCGCACACACACACAGCTTTTTAAATTTTGAGACTGGGTTTTGCTAAGTCATAAATTGCCCAGGCTGGGCTCAAATTTGTAATCCTCCTTCTTCAGCCTCCCACAGTGCTTGGATTACAGGCTTGTGCCTTCATCCCCAGTAGAGAGACCAGTTAAAATACTTAGATCAAGGGGGCCTGGGGATTTAGCTCAGTGGTTCCAGCGCCTGCCTCATAAGTGCAAGGATCCGAGTTCAATCCCCAGTACCAAAAAAAAAACAAACAAAAAAACACCTTAGGTCATTCATTAGAGACACCAAAGGATGGATCTTTACCAGTAGGTTTAAATTACCCCTAGAGTAAGAGACATAGTGTACCTACTCTAAAGAAGATTAAAAACAAGACTCAAAAGAATCAAGCTGTTCTACAAGTAACTGCTGATCAAAATAAACTCACCATTCTTTAAAGAAAAACATTGAAACACAAATGCTCAATAGAATAACATTCACAATATTCAGAATCCCCCCCAAAAATTACTAGATGTGCAAAGGAGAAAATATGTCACAAAAAACAAGAAAACATGAACTCAATAAAAACTCAGAAATTAGAAAAATGACAGAATTACCAAATAAAGACTTAAAAAGTTATATATATAGTTCAAGGATTTAAGAAAAACAAATATATGCAAGAATTTTTAAAAAGCAAACATTTCTGTTTTTTCATTTTAATCATTTTAATCCTTAATTACTAATAAACGAATGATTGATAATTTGAAATAGGAAGAAAAGGTTCAAAGGGGTAGGGGTGACAGGAGGGGAAGGGGAGAGATCAGAGTCACAGGCTGGAATCTGGAAAGAATCCATATATAGATTGTGTTTAAAACTATAGGAAGAGATGTAGCTAGAGACTAGGCTGGAGCTCATCAGTGGGTTCGGAAGGAAGAGTCACTGAGATCAAAAGAGATCAGAGAAAGCACATACATCTATGTATAGTACACAGTACTCGATGTGATAAATGACTGTTACTGTTTTAGGTACTTATCATAACATGCTGTGCTTTTCATTCTTTAGAGCATAATCCTACTTATATAAAAGAGTTTACTGTAAAACAGTGTGCTGCTATGCTAGTGGTAGCCTCAAGTATCTCGTGTTTAACTGCCTATTTGGATAATATCAAGGGGCCATCACAGATGATTGAAGTATACCTTCTCAGTTTGCACTTAGAAGATGGCACTCTGTGTGGTACTTTGCGATACAAACGGATGAAACTGCCTAATAACATATTTCTCAGGTTATATTTCCATCACAAGTCACATGACTGTATTGAAATTTAAATTTTAAAAAATTTGGCCAATGTGGAGTGTACTAGCTAATTAGAATTTTTTTACAGGCCACTATTTGTTCAATATTAGTTTTGAAAGTCTTTCTAAAACAAATCACATCCTTTGATGTCTTGTTAATGCTTGAGATGGTTTTTCTTAATTATATGGAAAAATGTTTAAGTACTTTTCAGTTTTGCTTTGGTTGAGTTCTATTATATTTGAATATTACTGTAGTTTTTTTCCCTTGCATTGCTTTTCTTTGAATAACTTTAATTTTTGTATATGTGTGTGTTTAGTGAATGATAATAAAGTTACACATTTTTACTTTTAAAAAACAAACATTTCTAAATATGAAAAATGCAATATCTGAATTGACCTTGTCCCTGGTTGACCTAAGGAGACCCCTGGTGAGGAGAAGGAAAAGCGGGTGTGGCTGTGGAGAATTAGGCCTCTGACAAAATGTTCAGATTCCGACATTTCAAACGTAATTTTGTATCAATGAAATATCAACATCAAAATATTAATAAAATAGTCTTATAATAGTTTATTAAAAATCATTGTCTTGAGAAAGGCATGTCCAAACTATTCTGCCATCTCCTTTAATATTCCAAGAATCAAGACTTAGGCACCTGCTCCAGTTGTTAGCTCTGTTTTTTGCACAATGTACTCTTTCTTCCTGTCAGGCTTAGGTAGAAGGGAGATACTATGACATCTTGAAAGGTTAGGGTCTACTGTTGGATCCAGGGGCTTCACAGAGAAATGAGGAAGATGGAGAAAGAGGAGGAGAAGGGAAGGAAAGTACCTCAATTGTTCACTTTCTCTGCCCTCTACCACTGCCAACTTGGAAGTAACCTTTCAGAAAGAGTTGTCTTCAGATGTATCCAGATAAATCGAGGAAAGTACCAAAAGGAAAATGGTCCTGTGCCAATGTGGGGTAGAGATCAGAATGGTGTCCTTGGCCAGCCAGATGGCTTAGGGAACTGGCAAGAAAACAGCAAACCCTCCAAGTGTGCATTCTGGAGAGGATGGGGTGACTCACAACAGAAGTTGACCACATGGTCAGAGGCTGACTGGAAAGAGTGTATGGCAGCCCCTGAGGTGGCGAGAGAGAAGGGAAGCACAAGGAGGCAGGAAGCATCTCTGCATCCCCACACATTATCGAGACCCCAGGCTGTGTGTGAGAGTAGCTGCAGGCTTCAGCCACAAAAGCCAGGAAAGTGAGTACCAGCCTAGACGGACAAATGGTAATAGAATCAAAATGTTCATCATTTTCCTCTCCTACAGAGAAGCTCAAGAGTGTTTCTTCCCGAAAGCTGAGATACCATCATACAGAACAGATGGGCAGAGGGTGGGAAACTGAAATTTCTAAAAGACTGAACGTTTTTCTTCCTGGAGGCCAAGGACCACCTCAGGGTAGTGTAAAATTATTGCATCAGTCCAAGAAATAAACCAGAATAGACTTCAAGTTAGTATGAAGAGCAAAAATCAGGAAACTATATTTTCTCTGTCCATCTGAATTGTATTTTTGTCCTACTGTTAGAATAAATCTGGAAATAATTGTTTGAAGAGAATAGATGATATGAGTTTGCAAGCCTTGGTAGAATAAACAAGAACATTGACATCAAAATTAGAATTCTAGAACTGGGATGCACTGATTAAAGTCTGGAAATTTTATTTTGGGGATGAATAAGAGGAAACAGTAATTTAATATTAATCATTACCCTAAGTTATTGTGAAGGCTGAAAATATAGTATGAAAATAAATTTAGATAAGTTAGTATATAGGCAGAATTTATGAGTAAAAAATGACAATAACAACTAAACAAAACTGAGGACTTTGAAATGATGCTTTTCAAATTAGCACAGTATATTATCTCTGCAAAGGTCAATATGGCACTTGGTTGGCCATTGGTATGATCTTGAGTAGATTCAGAATGACTAACCAGAGTAGTAGTTCTTATCTTTTGTGAAGCAATATATGACATAGTATAATATGATATACCAATAAACACAACAGCTGAAGAAATTCTGATAAATACCCTATTGATATATAATGGTAGGTTAGCAAAGTGATAGGTTTGAAAGGCAGGTTTAAAGGGTCCCAAGGAAGAAATGTCTGAAACAATCTTTAAAGAAAAAAGCATATAGATGTACAGAGAAAAGTGAGAAGGTCTGAAAAGGAGACACTTGCCCTATGTGAGTGAGTGATGTGTAAAAGATGGCAAAAATAGTGATGAGAAGGGGCAGTTCTTAAAAGATCTGATAGCAAAATCATTATAGATTGGTAGGCACTAGTCTGAGAAATCTTCACATACCAGTTTATTTAAAACTCATGGACCCCTTTTGAGGTAGCTACTAGCATTATTAGCATACCCGTTTTACAAATAAGGAAACTGAAACATAGAGAGTTTATAAAACTTACCCACTGCCCTCAGATTCAGGTTTCCAGCACAGGCTCACCAGCTCTCTTAGATACATAATCTTTTCTTAAGTTCCACATGAATCTACCATTCTAAAAATTAAAAGGAATTTAGATTTTAAAGCAATAAGAAATTTGGATTTGGGGGCAATAAAGACTCACAAGAAATTTTTGACATCTTTATGCCCAACTGTACTTCCATTTTTTTTTCTGCTGGGAGAAATATACAGTAAAAATCCATTTTGACCTTCTAAGTTAATGGAAAAACAATTCCATTTTAGGAGTTTATACAACAGTTATAGCGTGCATATGTATGAAGACATATGTACAAGCATATTTATGGCAGTGTTTGTGTTCACAAAAGACAGGAGATCAATCTAAATGTTTAGCAATAGAAAACCAATTAAATAAATTATGTTTCATTCATCCCGTGCATTACATCCTTCCAAAGAACTGAGAAAGATCTATATGTACTGATGCATAGAACGATCTCTGACATCTATTGTTGCTTGTAAAAAAAAAAAAAAGGAACCAAAGAGTCAATGGCAGATTTATTCCAGTTGCCTAACATAGCCACTCTTCACCTTTCTGTTACTTCCATTCGAAACCAGCCCATACGGACCACATCTCTGGGCTCCTAGGTCCGCTGGATGCTGGTTGGGTTGGTTGATAGGAATCCCTAGCATGGACCAAAAAGAGAGATGATCAGAGCATTTGTTTCCTCCTTGCCTTGAACTAACTACATCACTACTCCCCTTCTCTATGACCACTTCTTTCCATATTTAGGTAATCACTTATGTTCCTGCTTTCTTTGAGCTATGTATAGGTCTAACTGCTACACTGCTACCAGCTTAGTTATGGAACTATTTCCTGTTGTTCCCCTATATAATAGCCCACGTATGTTATTTGTTGATAATTTCTTTGTGAAGAACCAGCTCTCCAATTTCCTAAATTTGAGTATCCTTTCTGTTTCTTATTTTGACCTAAATGTGCTACCATTTTAATAAAAAAAAAAGTGCTGGTGATATAGAAAAATATACACTCAACTATGTGTATGTAAAACTATGCACAGAGACTATGTGGAGGACAGTATATTATAAATGACATCAATGACTGTTAGGGAGAGGAAATGTCAGTGAAGGTTAGAAATGGAAGGAGGTCTTATCTTCCTAGAATATCCTTTTATATTGTTTGGGTTTCTTACCATGCCAGTGTATTAGCCAGCAAGAAAAACAGTAAAATGTAATATTAAGAAAATAGGGCTGGGGATGAACTCAGTGGTTTAGCTGCCTGCTGCGCAAGCGCAAGGACCTGAGTTCGATCCCTGGTACCAAAAAAAAAAGAAAAAGAAAAAGACTGACTTAAGTTGGATATATGCTTGTGTCAGCTGAAGTTTAACTATATTATTTGGGCTGGGGATTTAGCTCAGTGGTTCCAGTGCCTTCCGCACAAGCGCAAGGTCCCGAGTTCGATCCCCGGTACTGGAAAAAAAAAAAAGGAAAACAACTCCCCCATCCAAAATTTATTCCCATAAGAGGGAAAATCAATGGGGGAAATGTTCCATAAGGCCCAAAGCCTAATGTAGAGAATATATATATATATATATATATATATATATATATATATATATATATATATATATATATATACATATATATATATTAAAATTTAATGCATGTATAGTTCATGAAGTTAGATTGTACATGAATAGAAATAAGTTCTCCTCAAATCTTATTCTGCAGATATTTTGTTGGGTCTAATATAGCCTTCTTAGTATGTATTCTCTACATTTGGATTGTTTGCTGCTAAGCTATTAAAGTTTTCATTTAGTTTAAGTTACAGATTCAACTCACAAGCTAGTCACAATTTTTATTTGAACTAACTCCACCAATTATTCAAGTTTACCCTTGGCTTTGTGAAGTGAAAGCTCAGGAGTGGTAATGAGCATAGGTCACTCCAGGCCACAGAAAATAAGGCCTCACTGTCAGGACTTAAATTTTCCATCACATCTTGAATCAACAGTTTTGCAAACAGTGAATGCAAAAATTAACTTGTATTTTTTTTTTTGGCAACAATTTAGCAAAGGCATATGCTTCAAACTCAAATGACTTCACTTCAAATTGAAATTAAGAAATGTTTTGAAGCATAGTCATTTGATAATAATTTGCTTCAAAATAAGCAACATGCTTCTTTTTAATGCAACCCACAGCCTTAACATGTGACTCAATGATGTGGTAAATGAAAAAACAAAGTGCTCTCAAAAATAGTCCTCAAATATATTCCAGTTCATGTTTTTTGGGGTTTTTGGTTTTGTTTTGCTTTTTTAGTGGTTGGGTTTCTTTGTTATTTAGGTCCCCACTTTACAACTATCTGCAAATGCCACCATTTTCTTTTTCTTTTCAATGGGGTCAAACATTCTGACAGAGGTGTAAGTTCTGGGTTTCTTCCAGAATTTCCTTGCCTTCAGTATGCCTCATCTTTCACGACCTGATTGTCTCTCCTCTCTTCCAGGGACTGCCAGCTACCTTATTACCCGGAAGAATGACTCTTTGACAGCACAACCACAGCCTAGCATCCACCAAATTGTGCCTTTAGACATGTCAATGGCATCAAGGAACTAATCAAGACCAAAAGGTCAGAGAGACAAATGCATTAGTACATACATAGTTTCCTAGCGCCTGCTGGTTTTCTTGGCCTGCAAAAAAAAATTTTTTTAAGTTATTTTGGACATACTTATTGCCTTTTTGCTTACAATATTTACACTGCCAGGATTCTTAATGTATGAGGCATTCCACCATATGAGAATGCTGCCTGTATTCCATTTGCAATCCATTTCATAAAATGTTGAACTAGGAACAACAGTCTCCTTCCTCCTCAAACAATCATGATTATTGCCCTAGTCAATTTTCACTACTAGCAGAATACCAATTAGATCACCTATTCACTGAAAGAAGGTTTGGATATTAAACATGAAAACAGATTTTTAAAACCTAAAATAAATGGTGAACTTGATGGTTAAGCTACTTGACAACTTGAATTAATCTAGCTTTAACTTCTTCCTAGTATACTGAAGTTGGTGTCTATTGCTAGAGGTTTTTTAAATCCACATAGACCAGTAAATAATAGCTTAATTTCTTCATGGTAACTTGAATCTTGTTTTTTTTGTTTTGTTTTGTTTTTTGTACTGGAGATCGAACTCGGGTCCTTGTGCTTGTGCAGCAGGCGGCAGAACCACTGAGCTAAATCCCCGGCGGTAACTTGAATCTTAACAAATAATAATAATATATTACAGCAGTCATTTATTTTCTGCTACATGTCAGATAATTTTACATGAATTGTTTCTAATCTTTATCATAATACCCCTGGGCAAAATACCACTGGACCCACAATGGAGGATGTGGTGGCACATGCCTATGATCCCAGTTCTCTGGGAGGCTGGGGCAGGAGGATCACAAGTCCAGGCCCAGCCTGGGTGACTCAGCAACTTAGCAAGACCTTGTCTCAAGGTAAAAAGCCAAAAAGGGCTGGAGAATGTAGCTAAGTACAGCACCTCTGAGTTGGTCAGTACTATGAAACAAAACAAAAAAAAATTACATTTGCCAGCTGTAAGAATGATGTTAAATGTCAATGAAAAAATGGAGTGAGGATTAGTTCATGATCTTAAAAGATTCTGCTCGCAAGGGTACCAACATTGAACTGATTTAGTAATTAAATTGATGGTCATTTCCTAGAGCAAGAAGCTATAGGTACATTCTGTAAGTTTGTTGTGCAAAACTGAAGCACACGTCACTCATAATATTGTTATTGTAAAGGTTAAAGAGATTCTATATTTTGGTGTAGAGAATTGAAAAGGTATTGTTGAGTTACTGACCTGATTCCAAGAACAGTCTTGAATCTAATGGATCACTATCCTGCAACCTTACTTACTACATCTTTTTCTGACTATAAGTCAAAAAGACCAGAGGGTTACACTTTGTTACAGATGACATCCCTGTCCCCTGTCCCTGGTCAAAAAATTTGTACACAAGTAATAGGACAAGAAGTTTCAGATTTCCATTTAGACTACCATATCTCTTTAAGTCCTCTGGCTTTTATGGCAATGAAGAAACCAAGAAGCTTACTTCTCTTGCCATTTTACATGCTGTTTTTAGTCCTTATCTGGCAGCATGCCTGGAGTGTGAGGTTTGGTCTCTAGATAGATCTTTAAGTCTTCTCCTCGCCAATTACCATCACTCAAATGCTCTCATTATCAGTGGATATCTTAAACTCTGGGTTACACCTCCTTTTTATTCTACTTCCAGAAGTAGAGTTCCTAAAATTGATGCTTCTATTAATGACGCCAGTCAGCTATTTGTCTGTCCCTAAAGGTAGAGTTAAAAAGACAATAACTTTTTCTCTGAAAAAAAAGTAAATAACCCAAAGCTAAAGTCTTTTACATATAAAACAGCATTGTCTCTACCTAATATGACATAAGCACTAATGCTCTACAGAAGATCCCAAGCTCTAAAAGTAAAAAGATTTACAAATATCAATAGTAGATTCCCTATTTTGTTTCTACAGTTTTACACAGATTTCTCAGATAGTTGTAGTGTCTTTAGTTGCATGTTTTCTTTCATCTTGCTCTGTCTAATAAACATCCAATAACGTTCTCACTGTACAATAGTTCCATTTTAGTTATTCAAGTATTTTTTAGAAAATAATATAAAATGATTTTTTATCAGGTAAATGTTTTATTATCACAGCAGTTCCAAAAAGGATGGGTTAATATAGACCTTTTGATTTCAAAAGAATCCATGAAAGTAATAGAATATGATAGAATATGGTAGGAAATGACAGAACAGCATATGAAAAGTGCATTTTAAGGTCAGAAATTATAGGGAGCTCAACAGAAAACTGGACACTTAGGAGGTTAAGGTACAAAAGGATGAATTTCAAAAGTATGTGGTCAATAGAAATACTGTCCTGATAAGAGGAGAGACTGTACTCTAACTTACCATTTGTCCTCTGATATCTGATTTAAAAATCTGATTTAGTGTAAATGTTGGAGATAATTTGACTTTAAATGGGAGTGAAAAGCTAACATTTAAGTCATTTGAGATAGTCTTGACTTTAGAATTCATGGAATTAGTAGTATATGACAAATATATACCGTAATCTATATTTAATAATCACATACAATTAGTAGTATGTAACAAACATATAGCATCTTTTAAAATTTTTTTATGAACAGATATTAATTGTACATATTAATGAAGTTCAGTATGATGTTTTTTGC